AACTGGACAGAACGAAGAGACATAGTTGTTTACAGACACGCAAAACTTCCTATTTGACAGGTAGGATGAAAACCATTCTAGGGCAGTACCAGAGATCCCCACCCAGTGCCTCAGTCTGTCTAACATGATGTTGTGATCAATGGTGTCAATAGCAGTGCTAAGGCCGAGGAGTACTAGGACTGAGCACATACCTTCATCAGCAGACATTAAAAGGTCATTGGTGACTTTAAGCAGGGCAGTCTCAGTGCTGTGGTACTTCCTGAAACCAGATTGAAACTTTTCAAATAATTTGTTATTTTCCAGTACAGTGAGCAGCTGTTTGGACACAATTCTTTCTAGAAATCTTTGCAATAAAAGGCAGTTTTGAAATTGGTCTATAATTATGTGGGAGGGAGGGATCTAAACCAGGTTTCTTTAAAAGTGGGTTCACGCAAGCCGTTTTAAAATAATCAGGGACACAACCACTAGATAGGGAGCTGTTGAAAACAGAGATCAAATGGGGCCCAACAGAATCTATTACTTTCAGTAAAAACTTTGTAGGTATTACATCAAATGGGCTTTAGGACACTCTCATTTGTGATACTGTTAAAAGCTCAGACGTCGATGGGATAAAACTGGTTAAAACTCTCTTGTTGCTGGTGAGGAACCTCTGAGTAAGTGGCCGCGGGGGTAATAGAGGCTCTGATTGACACCACCTTATTGGTAAAATAAGATAAAAACAATTCACAGTCATCATTACTTCCAGCTGAGGCACAAGGAGGGGTTGGGTTTACCAGCTGATCCACAGTCTTAAACAGAAACCTGGGATTGTGTTTATGTGTAGTAATGAGTTCAGAAAAATAGTGTGTTCTCGCATCCTTAGTCATGTTATTGTAGTTAATTAATAAATCCTTCAGACTGAGGTAATGGACTTGGAGACTGGATTTTTTCCATCTGCGCTCTGCTTTCCTGCATTCCCTTTTGATGCTGCGAATGCTGTCATTTATCCAGGGTTGCTTACTAGCTTTAGACGTAGGCCTAACCTTTAGAGGAGCAGTAATATTTAGTGACGACAAGCAGATATGATTGAAGTGATCGACCAGATTGTTGGTGTTGGAATCAGACAGGTGTTGGCTTTGGCTCTGAAAGAATGCGCAAAACTTTGAAACACTTTGTTCATTAAAGAAGCGAGAACACACGGAGCTCGGTGAGGCGGCATGAGTAACAGGAGAATCACAGCTAAAAACAATCCATCTGTGGTCAGATATGGTCATGTCCACTAATTCCACAGAGGAGACGCTGACACCCAGGGTAAAAACCAAGTCCAGTGTATGACCACGGTTATGGGTTTGCCCTTTGACATGTTGTTTGAAGTTAAAAGAAGTGGCCATATTTAAAAAGTCAGTTGCATTAAGATTGTTGGGGTCATCAACATGAATATTAAAATCGCAATTCTGTCATAATTTAAAACCAGAGTAGATAAAAATTCAGGAAGCTCTGATAAAAATCCTCCAGGCGGTTTTGGGGGGCAATAAATTATAAAAAATATGATAGGTTGCAGCCCTAAGAGTGGCTTTTAAGAGTGTGAACTTCAAAGGAGTTGAATTCATCACAGCGTACTTGATGACATTTTAAATTTTTCCTATACTAACTAACTAGCCCACCACCACGACCACTGACCCTCGGTTGACTAAAACAATCACATTGAGGCGGACACAGTTCAGCTAGCTGGCTATAGTCATTCATTTGCAACCAGGATTCAGTTAAAAACATAAAATCTAGATTTGCAGACAAGATAAAATCATTTAAGATAAAAGTCTTACTTGAAAGTGATCTCACATTGAAGAGAGACATTTTAAATGAGTTTGTTTTGTATGCTGGAGTTGGTGCAGTTGTCCTAATCCTTAAGAGATTACTAATATTTCTGTGTGGGATGTCCACATTTCGGTTTACTGGTCTATGCGTGATGATGACAGGAATAGAAGTCTTTGGAACAGCGCTGGGAGCAGACGGCTTTACATGCCAGCAGGTGGAGACAGTTATTTGTGGCAGTGAGCCAGAGATCTGTTCAGTGAGCGGTGGTGTGTCCAGGTGTGCTGCATGAATGATTAATCATTCACGTAAGTCATGTGTGGACCGCACCACATGCTGTATGTGAGCAGCTAACATTTCTGAGCCCCGTTTGTTTGGGTGAAGTCCGTCTGTCTTAAAAAGAGACATTCTTTGCCACCTCCGCTGGCCTGTCTGCAGGAAATACTTCCAGTTTAGTCAAATATCATCTGGTGTGTAGTTATGATAACGGTTTTGCACTGTTCATAGCTGTAACTGTTACAGCTATGTTGAGAGTCACAGCTCTATTGAGCCAAGTATTCCCATAGCTCTCGGTAGTTACGACTTCATGAGCTTCTTCAAAGATAAAATTCTAACTATTAGAAACAAAATTCACCAAGACCTGCCCTCAACTGGCACCAACTTATCTATAAAATCTGGAACCTTAGAAACAGATGTAAAACCAGATATATGTTTAGACTGTTTTGCTTCCCTCAATCTTTACCAACTAACTTTAATAATTTCTTCATCTAAACCATCAACCTGCCTCTTAGACCCCATCCCGACTAGGTTGCTTAAAGATGTTTTACCCTTAGTCAGCACTTCTATACTAGATATGATCAATCTATCTTTATCAACAGGCTATGTATGTATGTATGCTACTTTAAAGTAGCTGTAATTAAACCTCTTCTGAAAAAGCCCAAACTTGATCCGGATGTTTTAGCCAACTATAGACCTATATCTAACCTTCCATTTCTCTCTAAGGTTCTGGAGAAAGCAGTTGCTAAACAGCTGTGTGACTTTCTACAGAGCAATAGTTTATTTGAGGATTTTCAGTCAGGATTTAGAGCTCATCATAGCACAGAGACAGCACTGGTGAAAATTACTAATGACCTCCTTATTGCATCAGACAAAGGACTTGTCTCTGTACTGTTTTTTTTTAGATCTTAGTGCTGCATTTGATACCATTGACCATCAGATCCTATTGCAGAGACTGGAACATTTCATTGGCATTAAAGGAACCGCTCTAAGCTGGTTTAAGTCCTATTTATCAGATCGATTTCAGTTTGTACATGTTAACGATGAGTCCTCCATGCACGCCAAAGTTAGTCATGGAGTTCCTCAAGGATCTGTCCTCGGACCAATCCTCTTCACTTTATATATGCTTCCCTTAGGCAATATTATCAGGAAACACTCAATATACCTTCATTGTTATGCAGATGATACTCAGTTATATCTATCAATCAAATCAGATGAAACTCATCAGTTAGCTAAACTTCAAATGTGCCTTCAGGATGTTAAAACCTGGATGACCTGTAATTTTCTAATGTTAAACTCAGATAAAACTGAAGTTATTGTTCTGGGGCCTAAGCACCTCCGTGATGCATTATCTAAAGATATAGTGTCCCTTGATGGCATCGCCCTGGCCTCCAGCACCACTGTGAGGAATCTTGGATTTATCTTTGATCAGGACATGTCGTTTAAGTCTCATATTAAGCAAATTTCAAGGACCGCCTTTTTTCACCTACGTAATATTGCGAAAATCAGGAACATCCTGTTTAAAAATGATGCAGAAAAACTAGTCCATGCATTTGTTACATCTAGGCTGGATTACTGCAATTCCTTATTATCAGGCTACTCGAAAAAGTCCGTTAAGACTCTTCAGCTGATCCAGAATGCTGCAGCACGTGTTCTGACAGGAACCAGGAAAAGAGATCATATTTCTCCTGTCTTAGCTTCTTTGCATTGGCTTCCAGTAAAATCCAGAATAGAATTTAAAATCATTCTTCTTACCTACAAAGCTCTTAATGGTCAGGCACCATCTTATCTTAAAGAGCTCATAGTACCTTACTACCCCACCAGAGCACTGCGCTCCCAGAATGCAGGTTGTGGTTCCTAGAGTCTCCAAAAGTAGACTAGGAGCCAGAGCGTTCAACTATCATGCTCCTCTCTTGTGGAACCAGGTTCCAGTTTGGGTTCAGGAGGCAGACACCATCTCCACATTTAAGAGTAGGCTTAAGACTTTCCTCTTTGATAAAGCTTATAGTTAGGGCTGGCTCAGGTGAGTCCTGAACCATCCCTTAGTTATGCTGCTATAGGCCTAGACTGCCGGGGGATTTCCCATGATGCACTGAGCTCCTCTCTCCTCTACTTTCTCTCCCTCTGTATGCAACCTCATCCCATTATTGCATGTTACTAACACAACTTCTCCCCTTTCCGGTAGTCTTGTGCTTTCTCGTCCCTCTCCTCTCTCCTCCTATCACTTCCTGCAGGTTTTCTGGCTCTGGAGCTGTGGAGTCTGGATCTGTGGTTGCAGGTCACCTGCTGCCCCCGTGTTCCTGCTCGACACCCTCTGCTGCAACGAATATTGTTACTAGTCCTGTTGTTGTTGTTATTATAATCATTAACATTACGATTGTTATCATTATCACTACTATAAATATCTGTACCATTTTTCATTTAGTCTATAGCAACATCACCTTTACTGTCTGTACCTCTGTGTGTGTATATTGTGTAGGCTGCCTCCCTCCCCTCTCTCTCTCCTTACATCCCTCTCTTTTTCTCTGTTCCTCTCCTGCTCTCTCTCTCTCTCTTTCACCCCAACCGGTCGAGGCAGATGGCCGCCCACCCTGAGCCATGGTTCTGCTCGAGGTTTCTGCCTCTTAAAAGGAAGTTTTTCCTTGCCTCTGTCTCCTAGTGCTGCTCTTGGTGGGAACTGTTGGGCTTCTGTAAATAACATCATAGAGTACGGTCTAGACCTGCTCTTTTATGAAAAGTGCTGTGAGATAACTGTTGTTGTGATTTAGCGCTATATAAATAAAATTGATTTGAATTAAAAATGAGTGCTAATATATAGAGAATTTATTGCAGTGTGAACCATAATTGATATATTTTTAAATGTGCAAAAACACATATGGACAATATTTCAAACTAAATGTAGAAGTAAACAGAAGGGGAGATGGCCTTGTTTGCTCAAATTTATATTTTGTCTTCAAAGTATAATTTGTGTGCTTGCGAAAGTCCCACTGCACCCTGAGGAATGTGGTACACATCTAACACCATAGTGGCATCATGAGGTGTTCTGAGCCATCACTTTGATGTGTCTCTAATGTTTCTTGGCTGCACAATTAACTTAGCTGATCTGCCAAACACACATGAAGTGGCAGTCTATCAAGAGGTCTTTGTTTAGGTCGACATCTCACTATATTTTAGCCAAATCATGAGTCCCAATGCTAATGATTTTAGTCTAATCTTAAGACTGTATGGATATAAAATGGGCCGTTTTAAAGACTTAAAGACCTTTCTCGTCTTGTTCATCCAGTGAGTTGAATCAACCTGGAGCCTCATGTCATTTTACAGGCAGGATGCAAAATCTATCAGCAGTTACCATAGCAACTGTATTACACGTCAGACGGAGCTGTGAGCACGTTCATGTGGAAGACGTGGTTTCTGAGCGGTAGAGAGACACTGGGATAGAGAGAGAGAGTGCGCTCGTCCAGAATCTCCTTCACATTTAGGATTTCTAGAGCAGCTTCGTCTTCTCACAGTGCTCTTCTCATGTTGATGGAGATATGGAGCAGCAGAAGCAGGGCTAGCTGTTCCAGGTCCTGACAGAGACCAGGGCGGTAGCCGCCGTCTCTCCTGATTTCTGTGTCGTCTTCCCGCTTCGCTAAGGAAACAGACTGACTTTCTTCACCTCTTCTTACTAAGAACTCCAAAGGACAAAATCTGAAGAGCACATGCAGCCTAACATGGGCTGTGACTGCTCTGAGTCAACAGTGAACAAAGCGACATGAAGAAAACATGAGCGCAGGAGAGACGCAGCGGAGGCTGCTGGGCAGAGTGGAACAAAATGACCGAAGTCTGATGGAACACGAAGGGAGGAACTAATACCGAATAAAAGGACTGTTGTGCCTAATTGGCGAGCATGCTTTTACGTCATGTGAATAGGACACAGGCCATTTTTAGGAATGAAGGTAAACCAATAACTTCCGGGTAAGTTTACTGCTCTTTTGAAGAATCAAAGTGAGGTGAAAGACTGAGGGCCCGCTCTGAACGCAGATACCTCCAAGCGTCTGAAAGGGCTTCAGTTAGGTTATGGCTACACCTTAAACAGCTACTATGCATGCTGTTTTTATTTTCAGGTTGAATGGTAGGCTCTCTTTCAGAACTGTAGAAGGTGAAGAATACCTGTAACTATTACACTACCATATCCCTATTTTAAGCATTATAGAAATGCACTGGTACTTCAGTATATCATATGTCAAAATATTCAAGAGAATTAGAAACTAGCACAAACAGTACAGTATACATAGCCCTGTTCTCCCCGTGTCTGCGTGGGTTCTCTCCGGGTGCTCCGGCTTCCTCCCACTTTCCGAAGACATGCAGAAAGGTCACCTAGGGCACCAATCAACTAAATTGTCCTTAGGTGTGAGCGTGAGTGGTTGTCTGTCTATGTGTGACCCTGTGTGCCCCGCCTTTTGCATGATGTCAGCTAGGATTGGCTCCAGCCTGCTGCGACCCCATAGGCAGGATAAGCAGTTGACGATGGATGTGTGTGTGTGTGTGTGTGTGTATGTGTGTGTGTGTGTATGTATATATATTGTGTACATATTATATGATGCTCTCTTGTGACCTCTTAATCATCAGAGCTGGGTGTCAGTAGTCCACCAGGGAGTTTTATGTATATACATATAATTTTCTCAATGTGTCGGGCATTATATTTTCGTAATCACTTTTCTTTACTTTTCCATTATTAACTTACAAAAACCTAGATATTGCACTATGTCAGTTTTGTCAGATCAGCCTAATAAATCAATGATAACCTATGAACACAGATTTGACTTCTCCTTGTCTTTTCCTTTCTTCTGTTGATGGATTTGGAGATAATGAAAATAGAAAACTACAAATGGATGAGAAGGAGTTACCAGCGGCTACGTTGGAATCCAGGAAACCAACACAGACCGAGTCTAATCTGAATCGATGTGTGTGAGACGAGGGGTGACTTTTGTTGTGTGGTTTTTATGATTCATCAATGGATCCGGCTGTTAGCACAGCCCTGCGGGGCAGCGGGGGCAGCAACTACACAGCTGATACCACAGGTCCAGGCTTCACCAACCAGCTGGGCACTGCCTCGCCTGTTGTGCCAAGGTAATTCTCTCTGTCATTCCACCATCTGTTTGTTCTGCTTTGAAAAAAGTTAGTCACGAATTCCATCAACCTAGTGGAAGGAATTGCCACAATGGAACACCTGCTTTCTACAGTGACCTATAACTGACAAAAGTATTTCTAACAGTCTAAATAGAGAAACTAACTAATGTTAGCAGATACAAATAGCAAGCAGAAGTGATTTCATATCTCAAATGTAGAGTAAACCGAAGGTCTTTAAAAAATGAAGACATCAGCCACAGGGCATCAGTGGTGTGGGTTACAGATTCTGGGCCTCCTGCTCCTTCAGAACCTGAAACAATAAACATGGTGAATTGAAAAGTATTAAAAGGAAATAAAGCAATTCTGCGAAAAAAATTAGGACTATCAAAAAGTATAACAAAGTCTTCAAGTATTTTTTCACTATACACCTCTAAAAATAGGTACGAACCGAAAACATTATTTTCGATCACAGTGTTCGAGTAAAGACTACACCCTACCCTAGTCTTCCACCCCTCACTGCTAATCGTTCAAAATATAATAGTAATAGTAATAATAGTTCATAGTGGGACTGGCAATCAGGATTTCTCCCGGTGGGCCGGTAGCTCTGTGGCCGCTTGAGCAGTTATACAGAAACAATTAAGATGCGCAGTTGGTAGCTGAAGTGGTAAGACAGAAGACAGAAGGGAGAAGATAAGCAGCGTTTGAGTTTGGCTAAGGAAAACGACACAGAAAATGGAACTGCTGTCCAACTGGAATTAATATTATAGGCCTACTAGTATTAGGTTATATACTGTACTATTATATGAAATTATAATGAACATAGTAACATCATATAATCTGATTAATCTAACATTGTACTATTATCTTAACATTATACTATAATATTATACTACACTCATTTATACTAGTTCCTCCTCCAGGTTGTGGATATTGCACCTGTAGTGCACACTATTATCTGTTTTACTAAAGTGATTGTTAAATATATATAAATATTTACAAAAATCAGCTTTAGGATGCAGAAAGCAGTTTTCTATTGCAATGTTCTGTGCTACACAGCCCACATCCCTAACTTTATCCATCTGAAAAAGGGGCCATGGCCTCTTCCTAAACTGGCTCCGTGAAAAGCTGATCAGGGCCCTTCTCTGTGACTGTGAGATTCTTCTTATTTTTGATCTGATCTGACCTCCTACATAAGATTCTGACTGTTTTTAGACGTCTGAATCACTGCACACATCTCAGATTTGTTTGATGATTCAAATAGGTCTGGGCCCTGTTCTTCCAATTGGCTTAAATAATTCAGGATAAATAATCCTCTTTATTCTTGTCCAGCTAATCTTTTCGTTTTTCTTCTTTTTTCAGCGATTTTTATCAGATTTTACTGCTATACATGCAGTTTTTATGTCCCGGTGACCAGTGAAAGTGCCTCTCTCCCCATTCATTCAGATAGGGGCCTGGATTGTCATTAATAAAACTGCACATAGAAAATACTCCTAGAGGTTGCATATTTCAAAACACAGGAAGTGTGTACACACAAAATTATTCTGATTAATAAAACAGTGCGCACGCACATCCTACGCCAAGTTCCCTTTATAAATCACAATCAACTTGAAATGTGGCGCATGTGAGGGAGCTCCATGTCCGACCCTTCAAACGCCCATAGTTGCCTATAAATGGTCAATGAAATGCCCCTCATTAATATTAATACGTCCTGACTGCAGGAAGAAAAGAAGGCAAACTCTGACAGAAAAGCTACAAAAAGAAATTTAAGTCAGTGTGACACTGACGTTCCTTTAGGTGAAGCTGAAGCTGTTTGGTGGGTAAAAAACGCACTTTAATGCAACACTTGTGCACCGGAGCTCCACCCCTTTATAACAGATCTGCAGGAAGGAGCATTCCTCCTCAGTAGTGACAGGGGGCATTCCACTTGTGTTTCAATTCAATTCAATTTTATTTATATAGCGCCAAATCACAACAACAGTTATCGTAGCACTTTTCATAAAAGAGCAGGTCTAGACCATACTCTGTGATGTTATTTACAGAAGCCCCTTTTAAGAGGCAGAAACCTCGAGCAGAACCATGGCTCAGGGTGGGCGGCCATCTGCCTCCACCAGTTGGGGGTGAGAGAGAGAGGGGGGGGGAGGGCAGGAGAGGAACAGAGAGAAAAAGAGAGGGATGGAAGGAGAGAGAGGGGAGGGAGGCAGCCTACACAATATACAATGAAAAATGGTACAGATATTTATAGTAGTGTTAATGATAACAATCGTAATGTTAATGATTATAATAACAATAATAACAATAGGACTAGTAACAATAGTCGTTGCAGCAGAGGGTGTCGAGCAGGAACACGGGGGCAGCAGGTGACCCGCAACCACAGATCCAGACTCCACAGCTCCAGAGCCAGAAACACCTGCAGGAAGTGATAGGAGGAGGGACGAGAGGGACGAGAAAGCACAAGACTACCGGAAAGGGGAGAAGTTGTGTTAGTAACATGCAATAATAGGATGAGGTTGCATACAGAGGGAGAGAAAGTAGAGGAGAGAGGAGCTCAGTGCATCATGGGAAATCCCCCGGCAGTCTAGGCCTATAGCAGCATAACTAAGGGATGGTTGAGGACTCACCTGAGCCAGCCCTAACTATAAGCTTTATCAAAGAGGAAAGTCTTAAGCCTGCTCTTCAATGTGGAGATGGTGTCTGCCTCCTGAACCCAAACTGGAACCTGGTTCCACAAGAGAGGAGCATGATAGCTGAACGCTCTGGCTCCTAGTCTACTTTTGGAGACTCTAGAAACCACAAGTAACCCTGCATTCTGGGAGCGCAGTGCTCTGGTGGGGTAGTAAGGTACTATGAGCTCTTTAAGATAAGATGGTGCCTGACCATTAAGAGCTTTGTAGGTAAGAAGAATGATTTTAAATTCTATTCTGGATTTTACAGGAAGCCAATGCAAAGAAGCTAAGACAGGAGAAATATGATCTCTTTTCCTGGTTCCTGTCAGAACACGTGCTGCAGCATTCTGGATCAGCTGAAGAGTCTTAACGGACTTTTTCGAGTAGCCTGATAATAAGGAATTGCAGTAATCCAGCCTAGATGTAACAAATGCATGGACTAGTTTTTAAACAGGATGTTCCTGATTTTCGCAATATTACGGAGGTGAAAAAAGGCGGTCCTTGAAATTTGCTTAATGTGAGACTTAAACGACATGTCCTGATCAAAGATATCTCCAAGATTCCTCACAGTGGTGCTGGAGGCCAGGGCGATGCCATCCAGGGAAACTATATCTTTAGATAATGCGTCACGGAGGTGCTTAGGCCCCAGAACAATAACTTCAGTTTTATCAGAGTTTAAAATTAGAAAATTACAGGTCATCCAGGTTTTAACATCCTGAAGGCACATTTGAAGTTTAGCTAACTGATGAGTTTCATCTAGTTTGATCGATAGATATAACTGAGTATCATCTGCATAACAATGAAAGCTTATGGAATATTTCCTGATAATATTGCCTAAAGGAAGCATATATAAAGTGAACAGGATTGGTCCGAGGACAGATCCTTGAGTAACTCCATGACTAACTTTGGCATGCATGATAAATAGGACTTAAACCAGCTTAGAGCGGTTCCTTTAATGCCAATGAAATGTTCCAGTCTCTGCAATAGGATCTGATGGTCAATGGTATCAAATGCAGCACTAAGATCTAATAAAACCAGTACAGAGACAAGTCCTTTGTCTGATGCAATAAGGAGGTCGTTATTTTCACCAGTGCTGTCTCTGTGCTATGATGAGCTCTAAATCCTGACTGAAAATCCTCAAATAAACTATTGCTCTGTAGAAAGTCACACAGCTGTTTAGCAACTGCTTTCTGAGTTTAGAGATAAGTTGGTGCCAGTTGAGGGCAGGTCTTGGTGAATTTTGTCTCTAATAGCTAGAATTTTATCATTAAAGAAGCTCATGAAGTCGTAACTACTGAGAGCTATGGGAATACTTGGCTCAATAGAGCTGTGACTCTCTGTCAGCCTGGCTACAGTGCTGAAAAGAAACCTGGGGTTGTTCCTATTTTCCTCTATTAATGACGAGTAGTACGCTGCTCTGGCATTACGGAGGGCCTTCCTATAAGTTTATAAGTTAAGACTATCTTGCCAAATTAAACGAGAATTTTCCACTTTGGTGGAACGCCAATTCCTCTCAAGTTTTCGCGATATTTGCTTTAATTTGCGAGTTTCAGTATTATACCATGGAGCTAACCGTCTTTGTTTTATTATTTTCTTTTTTAGAGGGGCTACAGAGTCGAGTGTCATTCGCAGCGAGCCTGCAGCACTATCAACAAGATGATCGATTTGGGAGGGACTGAAACTAGCATAGGAGTCCTCCGTTACTTTGTGACTTGATAATGAATTTAGAGCTGATGGAATCGCATCCTTAAATTTAGTTACAGCACTATCAGACAGACATCTTGTATAGAAATTTTTGCCCAATGGCGTGTAGTTCAGCAATACAAACTCAAAAGTTATCAAACAGTGGTCGGACAAAGAGGGATTCTGTGGGAACACCACTAAATGTTCAATTTCAATACCATACACCAAAACAAGGTCGAGGGTGTGGTTAAAACAGTGAGTCGGTTCATGAACACTCTGAGAGAAGCCAATGGAATCTAACAGAGAGATAAACGCAGTACTGAAGCTGTCATTCTCAACGTCCACATGAATATTAAAATCCCCTACAACAATAACTTTGTCCGTTTTAAGGACTAAAGTTGACAAAAACTCTGCAAATTCAGAGTACGGACCAGGTGCTCGGTACACTATAACGAAGAGAATTGGTTGCAGTGATTTCCAACTTGGGTGTGAAAGACTAAGAACAAGGCTTTCAAATGAGTTATAGTTTAGTTTAGGTTCAGCTGATTAGTAGGGTAGAGTCGAAGATAGCTGCAACTCCACCTCCTCGGCCTGTGCCTCGAGGAATGTGAGTATTAATATGACTGGGAGGGGTGGATTCATTTAGGCTAACATATTCTCCATCACCCAGCCAGGTTTCAGTAAGACAAAATAAATCAATATCATAATCTGATATTAGTTCATTTACTAGTACACCTTTAGAAGAGAGAGATCTGATGTTTAAGAGTCCACATTTAACTCTCCTATTCGTTTGCACTATTGCTCTTTGGTGGTTTTAATTTTTATGAGGTTTTTATGTACAGTTCCTCTTCTGTTTACCTTTGATTTAAATAATTTCGATGGTCGGGGGGCAGACACCATCACTATAGGATTTTCACTAAGTAACTCCTGAAATGGAGGAGCAGAGAAGTGTGTTAGACTGCGACTCTGCGTAGGGTTTTGGGTGGGTAACTGCTGAAAAAGAAGGGCAGAGAAGTGTGTTAGACTTCAACCCTTCCTCCTGGTCTCAACTCTGGGTTGTCATGGATTTGGTCCACTAATAAACTTGGCCAGATTTCTAGAAATGAGAGCTGCTCCTTCCCAAGTGGGATGGATGCCGTCTCTCCGGATCAGACCAGGTCTTCCCCAGAAAGTCTGCCAATGATCAACAAAGCCCACATCGTTTGCTGGACACCACCTCGACAACCAACGGCGGAATGACGACATGCGGCTATACATGTCATCACTGGTCAGATTTGGCAGGGGTCCAGAGAAAACTACGGTGTCCGACATTGTTTTTGTATAGGGGCGGTTGTGGCTCAGGAGGTAGAGCGGGTTGGCCCTTAATCGGAAGGTCGGCGGTTCAATCCCTGGCTCCCCCTGGTTCCTTGGGCAAGATACTGAACCTACAAACATCTGATAACAATATATGAAACTATGCACTTGTAATTACTTGACTGAGGCAATGAAAACGGCATCAAGTTGCACTGCGTTCTTTTCAAAAACAGATATCTGTCTCTAAATGATGTTTTTTATTGAGCGCTTCAGTGAAAATCAATCAAATGCTTTTTTATTCAGAAAGGCTTTCATCTGTTTGGCAAATAAAATAATATTATTAATTATATTATTATTATACAGTGTTTCCTCTATATGCGTTGCTGCTGAATCACGACTGCCACTACTAAAATTTTAAAACTTTGCGCTCCAAATGTTTTCACTTACACGCTGTGCGAGCACGGCAGCACTCAATGCTCGGCTTGCTTCCTCTCCTCGTTCTATGCAGAACATACGTGACAGATGGTGTTATAAGAGCAGCGTAACTCTGAATCAGTGTTTGAAAGTGACGGTGAACGCGAGCGGAGGAAAATATTCTGGCAGTAAATATACGGTGTCTGTTACAGTGCCAGCTTCTCAAGACCAAGAAAAGTCTGTTGTTTCCCACCTGCTGGAAAAGTGAAGCCGGTTAGCGCTAAGTTAGCTAACATCTCCCCTTCAGACTGCGCAGCTGAGCAGGAAAACTTCTACAGCAGCTACAGAGCTGCTATGTAACTTAACATTAGCTCAATTTATAGAAAGTAACTGGTAGCTGTATTTTATTACTGCCTACTTGTCCAATGTTCAGAACATCAGGTACAAACTGAGACTAAACTGACTCTGTCCTGTACAGACTGACTAAATTATTTTTCAGTTTTCAGTCTGAAAAAGGGGTTTTGGAAAAAAAAGGACGGAGGTGACCGGAGGAGCCGAGGTTAGCAAAGCTAATAAGTGATGCAAACTAGTCCTTTTAAGCTGATGAGGAGACGTTTCTTTTTGGATTTTAATGTGCAAATAAAATGCACCTCAGAAGGGAGGAGGTTTCTCATGTTGCCTGTTTTTTATATTAATGTCTACAGATAAATGTCAGAAGCTGTAAAATGAAGACACAAAAGGCAAACATGAACAGTCGTATCGATAATGATTCTGGAGGTCATATTAACAGGGCTTTAGGGAGTGATGCCCAAAACATGCTGTGCCATCACTGTAAAATCACTGTGGATCAACAGAACCAACCAAATTACTCTCCAGATCTAAAGGTTGTAGTTCCTCCAGTAGGCTGATCTTTGGTTATTTATTATCTGCTCTAGTTTTTCCAACTCTTTGTTCAGCGATATTATATGAAATTACATATTTTTCATTGGAAAACATAAAATTTTCTTGGGGGAGGACCCCCAAACATTAGCTCACATTAAACTGGGAAAACACTGCAGTTTTAAGCTATACTAATGTGCATCACATTGCTCATGGACACAAGAGCAATGTTGCTGAGACATGTTGTGTTGGGGTTTTATATTCAGAAAAAGAATTTGCTTCACCTCCGCTGCTACGACTCCATCCTAGGGGAAACACTGAAGTTGACTTTTTTTGTGAAGTGTGACTATTTTGCGGTGCGGTTTGTCCTGCCCCAGCTGCTGAAAAAAAGAAAATCCTAGAGGACACACTTTTATTATATTTTATTATTATAAGTTTTATTGGCTATAAAAACACTACCAGTTAGCTAGAAATATTTTCATTTATTTTATTTGAATGTGGTTAGAACAAGTGATGATGGCGCATGACTTATGAGGTTTTCCCTGACCTGCAGACTCATAACAACTATAGTAAGTAAAATGAGTAAAGAATGCCACATGTTCTGGCTCCTTTGGTCTTCTAACAGTCAGAATCTTTTAGTTGAGTTTGTCTTTTTACTCACAGTATCTGAAACTTCATTCTTTAATGTAGACATTTATTTTGTTGTATATTTGATCGTGTAACTCTTCAGAATTAGAATCAGATGATCAACAGATTATACTGATTTCTCAAATATACAGATAAATCAAAAGGATTGGCAAGCATATTTCATCAACTATCAGAATCAGACCATTTATATTTAATCATATATAATGTAAATGGTTTATTTTAATAAATCATCACTGTGTTTTTGTCCAGATTGAGACGCGAGTCTGCACAGAGACAGATTAAAATGGCCCCATGGCACTCACCCCTAATGAAAAATATTTTTTGGGGAAATGCAAGAAATGCTGTTAATAAATGTGACATGATATCATTTCAGACTATGCTGATTGTACAATGATTTGGCCCTCTTTATTTTTTTTTAGGGTTGTTTCTATAGTGACCAGCTTAGTGACTGCCACCACAGGGGCCACAGTGGGAAGCACGGGAAACCTATCGGCATTCAGAGACCAAAGAGGGAGCGCGCACAGTCAAATCCATCAGCCATCAACACCGTTTGTGCTGAGTGCTGCTGAGAGTAATTCTGTCCTGCAAGGCATCACAGTGGCAGCTCAGGCCCTGGTACTCCTCTCCATCTTCCTACTCTCCAGCCTCGGTAACTCAGTAGTTGTCGTTGTCATCATCAAACATAGACAGCTTCGAACAGTGACTAACGCTTTCATCATGTCGCTGTCGTTGTCTGATTTCCTCACAGCTGTTCTATGTCTGCCGTTCTCCTTTGTCATGCTCTTCAATAAGGACGGTGTCTGGATGTTTGGGGATCGTTTCTGTGTGGCCAATGGCTTTTTTAACACCTGCTTTGGTATCATCTCTACCCTGACTATGACTCTGATCTCATTTGACAGGTACTACGCCATTGTCAGACAGCCACAGGCTAAAATAGGACGCCAGAAAGCAGCTCAGTTGTTGGTAGCTGTGTGGTTAATTGCTGTCATTTTCTCTCTCCCTTGGTATCTGTTAGTCCAGACACCTACAGAAATCCACAAGCGAGGTTTCTGCCACTGTATGTATGTGTTCCACTCTGGGACCTCACACATGGGGACGGCTTATAGCATCTGCCTTATTGTTGTGTGTTATTTACTGCCCTTCTCCCTCATGTGTTTTTGTCATTATAACATCTGTAAGACAGTTCGTCTCTCTGAAATCCGAGTCAGGCCAGTGACCACATATGCATACTTACTGCGATTTTACAGTGAAATGCGAACAGCCACCACAGTTCTGATTATGATTGTTTTCATCATTTTTTGCTGGGGGCCATATTGTTTAATGGGGTTGGTAACAGCAATGGGGGACTACACGTTCAACCCTGCAATGGACACGGTGGCTATCTGGCTAGCCTGGGCAAATGGAGCAATCAACCCTCTGATCTACGCCATGAGGAACCCCAATATATGTATGTTACTGGGGCGGAGCAGAGAGGAGGGCTATCGGACCAGAAATATTACTGCGTACCTCTCTAGCCAAACCCAGAACCGTGAGATTCAGCTTAACCAGGCAGAAAGGATAAAGGACCGCTATGTGAGTCGTGTAGGGGTGAATAATAACAGTCGGCTGTCAAGTTCAAGTCCTGGAAAAGGAGGAGCAGGAGGGGAGGTGGCAATGTGGGCCTGTAAAAACCCTGCTGTGTTCTTCTGCAGGGATGTCCAGCCTGACACTGCAACACCACCCAACTCTGTCAGCGCTCCAAAGATGAAGACAGCAGACACCAGCCTGTGACATTGTGGAAGCATTCTTAACCGTCTAATGATTGTTTTCATCATTTCTGTATTTGTTGTTGTGGATCTAGAGAATGCAGTTTGTGACATTTTTGGAAATATGTGTCTCTTTTGATCAGATTTTGTTCCAGGAATCAAAAGGATCATCTGAGTTGTTCATATACTTCCATTACATTGCAGAACGGTTTGAGGGAAGACAATGTTAAGATGGTGAAAACTAGATTTAAGCAGGTGTACAATAGCTAATGACAATTCCATCAATTCCACCTGAGGGCCTCTGGAACCTCCTCAGTGATTAAGCATGGAAGGGGACGCAAACAATTCTGTAGAAAACCATGATAAGTTTGTTTCTGCTATAAAGGTCTTCATGTCAAATATTATTTCATTTTTTAAATTTTTTATTTATTTAAAAAAGATATATATAATTTACATTTCATATGTAAATGCAGCATATAGATTTTGAAAACTGATAAAATATCTGCTAAACCTTCAATGCTTAAAACGTATACTGTGCATGTCATTTTCAGATTGTCCTCCCCAGACAAATGACATCATCTGTCTTTTGTTTAAGTGCTTAACACGACCTCAAGTTACACTTTACTTTCACGTCTTACCATTCCTGTAAAATTCGCCTAAAACGCCTATCCAAGGCATTCCAGAAATAGACTGTTCTTGAACCATTTGGAGTAAATTAATTGTTTTGGGCTTCTCTGAAAGATAAAACTCTGAATTGTCTAAACCAACAGTCAGAATCACTGTAAGTGCTACTAGAATTGATTAAAATAAATTTGAACACACTAAAAGTAATACTTTTTTCATTTCCGCTTGAAGATGTTTGCTAACACATGAATGCAGACAACTATAGCTGGGAAGTATTAGCTGGAAAGCACTGTGAGGCCACAGTATGAAGCTTTACCAAGTCCAAGTTTAATGTCTATGTCTAAGCATATTTTTTTTTTTTTCAAAAATAGCACCACCCCTTGGCATCAAGGTAGATTTACGCAGATGTGTTTTTTTGCTGGTAGATCATGAACTTCATAGTTGAAGCTAGAGCGTCGTTATTTTCAGAATTTTATTGGCTACAAGAAATGCCTGTCATCGGCACAATTGGTTACTATTGGCTTGGCTATCCACAAAATAATAGGGACTGGCACTACCTTACAGCACGGGCTCTCACTGGCTGGGGACAGCACATGTGAGCTCCAATTGGGTCGAATTAAGTGTCAGCTGAAAGGTCAGAGTTCAGCAGCCATTTTGAATACAAGATATCGGCTGTATTCGGAACCGCCTACTACATACTACTGGCAACTGCAGTATGCAGTATGTACTGTATACTGCATACTGTTTGAGGTATAGTATGTAGTATGAAACTGATAAATAGACTTATTTTGCAGCATGCTAGGCCAGGCTTTACTAGTTTCCGGTTTTCAAAATCGGAACAATAAGAGGAATATAAATGTAAGAAGGCCGACCTCTTGAAACGTATTCTTTTTAAAAAATCTTATGTATGAGAACAGGGCTGCAGCCGATCTGTAGCAGAGGATTATTATTATTTATTATATAAAATAAAAGCAAGTACTATAACCACAACTGTAACATTACACTAACAATGTAATGGCTATTTAGAATAATGATAATAATAAAGCGACAACAGCCCCCTTTCATACCGCTATTGTTGTTTATTTTTTTATCAAAGTGCTTCTACCTTACACAAGCCTGCCCATCACGAGCCAGATGTCTCTGGATAAAAGTTAAAACGTTACAACGTTACTCAGACTGTAATGACAGAATAACAGCGGTACAGACATTTAAACTGTCTCACAGCTGCGGGTCTTTCCTCTCACGTTGTTGCTGGACTCGTCTGCTCCGTGAGCAGACCGGAGCTGACTGGCCAGCTCGTTAGCTAACCCCGTGGGTTGCGTCATTTTGTAACGCGTCTATAGACTGTAGAAAAGAAATGGACTTAGATATTGTGACGTCACCCGTTGGTTTTTGGACTGCCGTTGTGAAGCCTCAAGTTTTACCATATTTGGAAGAGACTGGAGCCAACAGCTCTGTGTGGAGCTAGCTAGTTTGCTTAGCTAGATGCATCTGTAATTGACATTAACTGTCATTTTAAATAGGATGATAATTTTGTCTAGCGAAAAACAGGCTTAAAGAAAACACTCTCACACTATAGCGCCTTTCTAGTCTTTTCGACCACTCAAAGCGCTTTTACACTACATCTGCATTCACCATTCACACACTGAGCCTGAGTGCTCAAATGGAAACTAACATTCACACACTGGCGGAACAGCTATTCAGTATCTTGCCCTCAGTATCTCGACATGCAACCAGGGGGAGCCAGGGATTGAACCACCAACCTTCCAACTAACTGCCAACCCACTCTACCTCCTGAGCCACAGCTGCCCACGTTTCTCTGTACTCACCAGAGAAAGTGAACAGCCAACTCCTAATAAGCTTTTTCAACAGCGCTGGTTAAATTTACACAGTTCCGTGGGTATGAGTCACTCTAGCCTGATTGATAGGTTGCCATGGTAACAACTTGTCAATCACAGAAGCCCTGAAGCATACTCATGTTTTATGGTCTATTTTCCTCTAAGTGGGGATAATTTACTAAGCAATTGAGACCATAAACTCATTAGGAAAGTGTTTACTGAGGTAATAAATCAGCTGAGAAGTTTTACCATTATTTCTAATGGAGTGGGACTTCTTTTTACAACCAGAGGAGTCGTCCCCTGCTGGCCGTTCAATAGAATGCAGGTTTAACGGACATCTGCGTTGGCCTCGCTTCTCAGACCAGAAGCTTCCCACTTGCACGCGTAATAATGCTCGCCTTTGCGGCTAGTGTGGCACACCCTTAAACTAAATATGAAATCAAAGTAATGTTAGAGAATGTCCAGGCAGTGAATGGACTTAAATTGTTACAGTGATGTAGAGACAGTGCACAGTGAAAGCGTTACGTATGAAAGGTACATTTGTTACAGATTAATAACTTACCACTTTGAAACTCTTGCTCCGGTCTAGATTGCGAACAGTGGTGGTTCTAGACCCATTTTATTGAGGGGGCCAGGCTGGGGCCAGTTGTTTTGTCTGAGGGGCCCATTCAATCCAGGACAAAGGAGAAAAAGACAATGTTCAAGCTGTCAAAATGTCTTGTTTAGTATATAATGTAATGTTTCAGTAACTTAGTTATTTGTTTCAGTAACAGGATCTTTTCAGTAACTTAGTTATAGTTTTATTAAATTACATTTTACAAAAAAAACTTTCCTGTTAAATTTAGCTCAAGTTACAGTACATTCTTTGATGCAACACTTATTTGTAAGGCTTAATGAACAGTAGAAGCTCTAGTGTACTAGACATTCTCTGGATCCCAGTTTGTATTTTGTATCCCACTATAACTTTTGCTAGGAAACAACAAACTTCTCCATATTCACTCCTGTTATTAGTCCTGATGTGAAGTATACACAAAATTACATACTTGATAGTAGGCCATCACCTGTGCTTTATAAAGGGGGGATACGCTTTATGGCAGGTTGAAAAACCGTCTGAAATAAAATGTATGCCACTATAACTTTTGCTAGGAAACAACAAACTTCTCCATATTCACCCGTTATTAGTCATTGGCAGAGTCATATTAGTCTCTGCAAAAGCCTCGTTGATAAAACAACACTAAAACGATAGATGAAACAATCCACGTGTTATAATTTTCATTTACTTTCGTGAAGTTGAAAGTCCACCTTCACCGTTGAATGCACGCACGCTCCCGCGGCAGGGGGAACACTTTCTATCAGGGATAACTACCTTGCACCGGACAGTGGCGGTGTAACGTCCTAAAGGATCCCACTAGTTCAGACACATTTGTTCTGCCTTTCGCATCAGCGCCATCGCGTCGCATGGAAGATATATTACTATGATTATTGTAGACTTTTCGTTCAGAGGGGGGCCATCGCGGGTCCAAAGTCTGTGTTTCAGGGGCACTGGCCCCCGTTGGCTCGTCACTTGTGCATTGGTGTTGATGATTGCGTGGCATTTCGGCATTTTGGTTGTTCGCTGCACGGCGGTGGGGTGCTGGGTGGGGGGGCACTGGTCTATGTTGTGTGCGCGCCGCGGTCGGTCCGGGCGCTGCTCTTCCGCGGGTTACGCTTTTTGCGTTCCGTCGGCATTACATTGTCAACTGGCATTTGCGTTTGCATCGCGGTGCATCTGGGAGTCTTTGTTTTTTTTTGATTGATTTATTCTTTTTCTGTCTCCCGCCCCTATTGGCTACTGGGGTTCTTGCCTGCCTGTTACAGTCGTGGCGTCCCACTCTCACTAACAACTACATTCTTTAACAGGCTTATGCGCACACACATGTACACACACACATACAGACACATTCACCCACACGCACACAGACACACACAGTCTCACACATAGACACAAACAAATTTAGGTTGTCCCTGGTAGAATTATTCCTGATGCTTTTCTTTCAGTTATTTATTTAAATTAATTATTATTCCAGCTCTCGTGGCTGTGCTGTGTTGCTTATTTAGTGTGTGTGACTGTTTCTTGTTTTCATTTTTCTCTTAGTTGTCTTACTATGTCAGCTGTTTATTGCTGCTGTTTGGCTGGTTGTCTTTTACTATTATTATTTTTATTGTTTGTTTTTGTTTGTGTTTGTTGTGTTTTTCTCCTCCCCAAGCCCCCCTCTCTGTTCTATTGCAGGTTTCGTTGCTTTCTGCAATTGGTGTTTCCCACAGCTTTTCCCTGTTGTCCCCACCTTCCATCCCCCTTCTCTTACAGGTGTTGTCCTTTCTCTGTGCTGTCTGTTTGTGCCCCCCATCCCCGTGTCTGCCCCCCTGTCCGGCCCGGTGACAAATCAATACATAATTAAATAAATAATAAAACAGACAAAGGAGTATATTAATACTCTCTTGTTAAAGTAAAATCTGTCTGGCACAATATGGTATCCAGCTCATCATTCTTGCGTGCACGCAAATATACGACAAACACAGAAATACACACATGCATCCATTCCTACCATCCACCTGTGGAAAGCACCAGGTCCACAAGCCTGCTGAGAAATCATTTCCCGAGCAAGCAAGCGAGGCAATTCCGTCATAGCGAGGAGGAAAAAAGGGTTTTTTAATGGGGAAAAATGGGACGCAGGGGAAGAGTTAGCAGTAGCAGCCAAGATAATTGGCAACTGTATGGGTACAAGATTAAGATTCATGGGTAGGACCACACATGAGGGCTGGAAACTGGTATGCGCTGGAGGCATGAAAGATATGAGGCAACATTTTGACTGGCCTGCTGCCTTAATTGATAGAGTGCCATCCCAGATGCAGCATAAAAAAGAAAAACTGTCAAAGAATTTCACTCACCCGTATAATGGAGGCTAGGGTGGATCCCAACACCTGGGCACGAATTGAGAAGGACAGAGAGAGAGAAAGGGATGGAAAGGGGGGAAAAGAAAGTGGTAGAAGCCCAGAGGCAAGAGAGATGGGTTTTCATGTAGAAGGTCAGTGAGTCCTATCAGCAGACATGCTGGAAAATGGTTTGTAAGGAAAGCGTGTGAGTTACACTCTCCCACTCCTCACCAACTACCCTTGAGGAGCCTTTCAGCAGTTTGTTACTCACAACTGCCCCAGTGGAGCTGCTCAGTGGCCCACAGCAGAAGACATACAGTAGCTTCTGCTGTGAATGTGAAACTGTATGAAAGTGGAGTAAGGTGTTGTAGGGAAAGTGCATGGAGCCAAGTTGACATTTCCTTGATACAGTCACATTTTTTACACAATGAATACCTATCAGATACTTGATGCTTT